TTTCAATAGCAAACAAGGGACCCGAGGATGGTTCTTTGTCTTGACCTTTTCCCCGACCTCTTCCCCGACCTCTTCCCCGACCTCTCGCTGCCGCCTTCTTGGGCGAAGGATCTGTTCTTCTCGGGGTGGGCGTTTGGTTCAAAAGTCCTTGGCTGTCCTCATGTCTAGGGCTAGACCGCACCGTAGAGGGTGCAGCAGTCGGTGGTCTCCGTTCCGCTGGTTGGTTTGGTTGGGCCAGCATGGACTCCATAATCATGCCAGCTATGTCCACGCCAGCACTATTCATGGCACCTCAAAGAAAGGTACCTGCGGAAAACTTGATCCGAAGCCTCTTGCGCAAACCATGAGTCACTGATTGCAGTGCTTCAACATAGAGCATGAGACATTATACAATGCAATATAATGCAATCAGCTAACACTGCCACACTGTGTTAGCAACAGAAACTGAAATAATGATAGTTAGTTGCATTCACAGCTACTAAGAGGTGGACTGTATTACTTAGAGCGCTGAAGACGAAACATGTCATTTGGTTTGTCGTGCGGGTTGATAATAATTTGTCGTTTAAATCCTCTTTTGTCAGATCCACGCTCCCAAAATCCACCAAGTCCCACGACTTCTTTCAAGTCAATTGGCAACTGCCATACTCGTAACTGCTGCTTGAACATCATCAAGCAAGCTGTTACAAACCTGAAATCTACCAAGCAATTGGGGGTGCTTTCCCGCTAAGCCACACAGGGTCTCTAGCTGCTCCAAAGCCAAGCCCAGCTCCTTCAGTAGGCGGTCTTTCATGTCAGAAGTAGCCACAAAGGGGGCCAACTTGATGCGCAGCGGTGTTGATGGCTGTGGACTTGGGGCAAGGAAAATGTGAGAACGGTCCATCCAGCATCGCAGCCGAAACGTCCCAGGTTCCTCAAGAATGCCTTCCCCATCGAATTGGCACGTTTGAGTCATACAATGCCAACATGTCAAGATCAGCACGGTCTCCAACACGGAATCCAAATTGAGGGGGTTGTCACTCCACACAATTGCCAGCTTCATCAACACTTCACGGATGTTTTCGTGGCCAAACTGGCCAAGATGGGCTAAGGTGGGAAGGCCATACACACCCAGAAGGTTCTTCCATAGATCCAGAACGTCCTCATAGGTGACCCTAGCGAGGTCTCCAACAAGCACGTAGCGGCGGCGCGTGGCCATGGAAACAACTCAAAACAACTCAAAAGGCAGGAGGCAGGCTGTTGGATCCTAAATGCTTCTAAAATGATACAGCAGGTTGATAGGAAAACCCTCCAACATCAACAGTAAGTCGTAAGAAGAACATGTCAGACAGACTGCATTTCAGGGTTAGCTATTCAGACCCAAAAGAGAAGCAGCGCTGACCCTCTCACTGGTTTCTCGCAGACCCACGGACGCAGAACCTGCCTCAGATCCAACAAGGCTAACTGAGACAAGCTTGGTTGCGGATCTGGTCGAATGCCACACACCGTCATTAAGGTCACTCAAACTTTTGGGAGTGTCTCTTAACTCTGAAGTAAGGTCAGTGTCAACGGAAACAATTGTTCTGGATTGATCCAATTTAGAACAATAAGCATGCCATACGATTTGTTGTTCAACGGTGTTCAAAAGGCTTCCCCAAGCTCATCGTGTTCTGTCAGATCGGTTTCGATCTAAGACTAGCCATCATCCAAAATGGATCCTGAGGGCATTGAGGCACTGATTGCAAACGAAACAAAGGACACCAACTTATTGTTAAGTAGTAGATGTTAGATAGTCAGGATCAGGACTGACTGTGTTTCTAAAATCTTGTCAACACCCATAGAAACACATGATGGCCTGCAGCCAGTGCTCGGCACTCTATACCAGCTTGAGAGGCTTCTCTTTTTGAAGCGTCAGTGAATGCGATGTGATGACGTATGGACGCTGGATCTTAAAGTTTTGGCCCACACGCTCAAAGCGATAGCGAAACACTGTTTGAGCAGCTTCCTTTGGAAGGGTAGGGCCCAAGCACTTGGAAAAAAAGTTCTTGGAGGTCACCTTCTCATCAACCCGGCCTTGTGCACCAAAAGCACGCGGATCCCGTAGGCATCGAAAAGTCATTGCCCCTTTCAATGACACATCGAATCCATCCTCCCCTGCCTCCACCGAAGATTTCCGCTGGATCTGTAGGAAGCTGAAGCGGTGTTCTGTCAAGTTCTTTTCATTCTCTGCTCGCAGCAGCAACTTGTACAGGGTCAACGTTTGGAATCCCTGGGCCTCCGCGGCAAAGGAACCTTCATCGATCTGTACGAGGCTCTGGTCACTTTTCATAGCGAAGGGAACCCCCGGTTCCGAGCATTCAGCTTCTGGGACCCACTGTCCCGTTCCGTACCCTCCTAAGACACAATGCTTCCCAATGGTCTTTTGTTGATCGCTGACCAACCACACCGATTTGTCAGATCCAAGAATCAGTTCCACATGGCTGCATTCGCTGGCCACCCTCACTTCAATCCCAACAGTTTCCTGGAGCTTGGATACGGACTCCAATTCTGTTGTGGCCGGAGGGCTTTCCGAAACTCCAGCGTCACTCGAACCCGAACCGGCCGAAGCGGCATTTGGCTGCTCAGAAGCAGCAGCCGCAGCCACTGTTGGAGATTGACCCACTAGGTCGAGGTGTTGATGCCGCAAGGCCTCATACTCCGTCAGGATTCCACCAGTCTGCGAAGACCAAAACCTGAGGGATGTTACCAGGCAGCTAGTTTTTGGACTTGGATACGCTAAAGGAAAGAAAGGCCAGGTAAGATAAGTTGAAAACTGTTCATGCTTAGTTTCTTTCAACAGGGGCCACAATATGCCACATTGCACTGAAAGTGGGGAAACCCTCAAATCATGAGAAATTATGACAAGGGGCCGGTGTTCATCGGACTTAATCATCATCCGATTACCCATCCGCTCTAGGACTTCAAACGTCATCGAATCCAGGTTCCCCAAAGATGCACGGGCTCCTGGAATGCTGTCAATCTCCTTTTCGCTCAACTCCGGAACTTCATTGCTGAAGTAGTGTCCGCCGTGCTCGAACTTTCGCTGGACCCATGAATCCGTCACTTCGCGAGTGAGCCTCGCGTGACCGAAGCTGTCCTTCATGATCCATTGCACCGAATGGTAGAAGAGCATGTCGGTCTTGAAGCCGCCCTTGAGTTCTTGGTTTGCCAGCCGCATCTTGAAAACCTTAGGTGAGTGATGGTGAATGGGTGGCGAATGAAATCCTTGGGGAATCCCTTTGATTGCATTCAGTGTGTCCGATTGAGGCCTATCAATAATTGAAGGTGTTCATTCATATGAAATTAGGTGGCCTTGGAATCCCTTGACATAAGATTGGTGACTATAGGCTTGGTGTAACTCCCAAGATTTGAGACTGGAGGACCTTCATACCACCACAGCAGTGTTTCAGGATATCTCTTTCCCCAAGTTCTGCACAACATGTCTCATCCAGCTTAATTAGGTGTCAACTGAAGCTACCAGGTTGAACTCTTTTAGTTCAGCCTCCAATGCGTTTCATTTGAGAAGCATTAGCCGCAACAACATAAAGGAAGTAGGGTGGCTGATTTCTAGGCTTGCCGCGCTTTGTACGCATTCCTTCGCCACCCTTTGCGATGTTGCGACAAGGGCCAGGATCTGTTTCTAAGTAAAAATCGATCAGGCATGCTTCTAACGTTTCAATTTGTGCAAGCGAATTGCTGGCGTGAATGCAACACATCTCACTAAATTGTTCTGCGTAGTAGTATTCAGCTCGAACTTGCAAGCACTGCGTGATGCCAATCTTGAACACTGCGAGTTGTTTTCCACCATGTTTTTCTCGAACTCGGTCGATTTGGTCCTGCTAGACAGTCAGTCAGAGTGGTTGTTTTTGCTGTTAGCCTTTGTGAAGATGTTGTGTATGTTCCAGCAATTGTGGGTTAAATTTGCATGAAGTTGATGTTACATTCGCAAAATGAACGGATTGTGAATGGGCCAGTCCTTGCAGTGACGAACTATGTGGCCAACTGTCAATGAGGGTCGCTGGACCCGAATGTCCACCCCGGCGTTCTTTGGTATGCATTGCCAGCCCAGCGGTAGTTCTGAATGCGGAGATGGCTCGCTAAGAACGTTCTCATCTTGTTGAAGAGTAGTACAAGTCACAGCATTAGATGACTCTTGGGGGCTATCAGGCTCATCATTCCATGGCAATATGCATTTGCCCCGCTTGAAGAACTGGTCTGGGCCGGGAAGCATCATCATCATCACGGGTAGCTTAAGCCGAAACCTTCAAATTTTGTATATAACACCAAGGATTGGTTTCCAGAACGACTCTTTGGGGGGTTCAAAATTTGAGGTTCCAGCCCTAAGTATGCCAGGTAACTGCACACCCAACATCTTCAATGTATGGCGTGAAGTTGACCACAATGCAAGGCTTCCCCTTCAGGCTCTCGCCATTGACAATCAGCAGTGATTGCAATAAGGCTTCCCATCTCCGAGTGCCTTTCTGTGCTGCGCAAGCCTCATTGGAAGGTCTCTGCCTTTCAGCTTGTTTGAGGTCCGCCTCAACGTCCAGGCTCTCCGGCAAGATCATCTCCTTTGAAAGGGGCAACGTGAGGTCAGCGTCCAGTTGAAGGGGTCGCCCACACAAACCCAACTCAGAGCTAGTGAGAAAGAGGTTGTCGTTGGAGGCATCCACGTTGCACACCAAGCGGCCGGAGCTGAATCGCCTGGACACAGAGATTGATTGAAGGGTTTCTTGAACATATGTGAACAATATCATGATATCCTTATTAATAAGTATCTGTCACTGTCCTTAGGTAGTATTTGAATCGTCAGGGCCATACCACCATATACCACCAACTGAAGGCTGCTTTGTGTTGTGACTCTCCCAGCTAGTTGTTCAAGATTGAACTTTTGCAAAGTTACTTCAACAAGAATACTCGATCAATGAACAGCCGACCCTGCCTGCGATTGGTCTGTGCCTCTGCCGTTGGGTGCACGTTGAAGGGGCAAATCCAGCGAGCGTCGCAGCTCTGCCTCAAAGCCCAGAGGCAGTTCTGAACCTCTGCCTCCTCATCGCATAATCCCCTCTTCGAGGATTTCTTTGCCACTTCCGGCAGCTCGAGGAGACCCAATGTTCGATTGGGGGCGAGGTCGTTGCAGAACTGCAAGCAAGAGCAAAGGTCTCCAAGGGTCTCAGTGCTTTTGGCCCCAGGGACATTCATGTCCACAATGCAAATGCAATAAAGATCTTGATCAGCTGCGCATCCACAAGATTGGGCCTCAGCCAAAAGCAGTGGCCCCTTTTCCAGGGGGATATGGTTTTCAGGTCATCATGAGAAATACTTTTCAGGAACAACTGAAGTCGTGTGTGGGGAGGGAAAACTCCTCGGCGGAAGCCTGTGTTTAGTCATTGCGTTATTCTCAGCTTGGCCTGGAGCAGTTGAAATCAAACAAGGGTAAACGACACTTGAAAAAATTATGAGCTAAGTTTGAACCAGAAACCACATAGGAGCGGAATTCATTGATCTTCTGTTGGGCCAGTGAAGGCTTGGCGACTAGGTCACAGCGAAGAAACTTGTCCATGAACGACTTGATCACTCGCTCTCCCAGCTTCGACTGCTCCACCCTCCAAGCTACCAGCTTGCGATGCTTCAAGGCTTCCAATTTCTTGGGAGCCTCATGTGTCAGCTTGAGTTTTTCTTGGTCACGAAGTAATGCACCCTTGAAAAAGCTCCAGCGAGCTTCCCTCACTGCGACACGTTCCTTCTCAACTTCTAAGCTGGCTCCCTCCTCTTGAACCCTGATGGCATCGAGCGCCTCCTTTTGAGACGTTGGCAGCATGGAAACTCCGAACTGAGCTGGACGGCCATCCATAACTGCTTGCAGCTCATGGTCTTTTGAGTTGCCGGAGCAAATGGCTTTGTCCAGGTCATCGAAGTTCTTGATGCGGGAGGCACAGAAGGATCGAATCTGGCCCCAAACGCACATGAGGTTCCTCAGCGATTGGAGGTCTTCCTCCGACATTCGATACTTCTTTCGATCGGATGGCTGGTCAATGATAGCTGTAGCTCTTTCAAATGTTTTCCGGATCCTCATGAAGAGCAGAGCCTGGGTAGCACCATCCAATGGAAGGCTCCAATTGATGGTCACTGTGGCCTCCTGGTTGGCAGGTGTGAGCTCTGACGCAGCCATTGGGGCCAAACCAGCAACAGAATCCATGAACAGGAACTTGAGGACACTGAGCTGCTCGCCCCACGGACCGAACTGGAACGGCCCATCCTTCAAAGAGATACGAACTTGTTCATGTGCTTCGCTTGATGTGAGCTCAAGCCAATGCTTGATGGCGTACTGTTTCTTGCCATCTAACAAGAGAGATCCTGCTCCGCCCTTCTCCTGGCGCAGGAAACTGACCATGGGCATTATTTATGATATAATACGAGGTAGTCTAGTCTATTGAATATTGAGACGGAACAAAAACTGTGATATACCAGGTGGTAGGTACTTGCACAGCTCAAGTCACCCATTACAGACAGACCTAGAAGTCTACATTCAATCCTTTTTGGGTAGCCTGTCCTTTCCACTGCTTCCGCCATGTGCAGCGACCTCTGGATTGCTGTTGTACATGTCGATGGCTTCCTGCATGGTGGGTGCCTTGGCCGATGCACCCTTTGAGCTCAGGCCGCTTAAGATCATGCTCCATTCATAGCTGGACACGGCCTGCTTTTTGGCATCAACGTTCTGTTTGATGATTCTGCGGATCATTCCCGCAGCCTCATCCACAGGACCACTCCTGTGAAATGTAGGTATCGCAAGCAAGCTTCGGCACAGCTCCACCATAGGGGTAGATGTAAGCTCCTCCTCCTTCAGTGTGAGGCCATGGTAGAGAAGGCTGCACCAAACCACAGCACATGCCAGCCCCCGCATGCCACCATCATCAAAATACAGGTAGTTGTGCGCAGGGTCCCCAGCATTGATGCTATTGTGAGGCGGCAATCGCATCCCAAGGACTTCACCCTTGGCAACTGACTTGCACGTGGGTCATCGAAACGAGTGGGCAGGGTTGGCATACAGTTGGAAATTGTAGATGGACCCACAACCTATCCAAAATGATACAAAGAGTGGTGGTGATTGGAGCTTACTTTATAGTGCTCTTTATTGATCAAGTTCATATGAAACAAGGGAACCAAGTGTTTTCGGTGGCGAGCTATTGGGTTGGATCTGGGTGGCGAGCTGTTGGCTTCCGGGTGGGCGGCGAGCTCTTCCTGGAAGAGCTCTCCACCTCTCCGCCAAATTTTCTGGATGGAAGCCTCCGGGCGGCGAGCTCTTCCTGGAAGAGCTCTCCACCCAGATCATCGGGTAGCCAATTTTTTTTTGGTGGCTTATATTGGTATGCATCCCCTCAGTCTAGGCCCTTTGTATTCCCAAGCCTAAGTACTCCAGCCCTCTCCAGTGTGGTTTTGGCCCCTGTGAGCTTCACCATTTGGGGCGGCGAGCTCTTCCTGGAAGAGCTCTCCACCCAAGGGTCGGTCTTGGGAGCCCCTAGGCGGCGAGCTCTGTATTGAATTCTAATTTAAAATCCTTATTTTTTTTTATTTTTTCTTTTCCTCTTGGCACCACCCAAACCATATTCCATCACCAGCCCAGCCCAGGAGTGGGGAAACCCTGGCCTTCCCATTCCCAGTCACCCAAGCCAATTGGGCAGCTTTGGAAAATCCAAGGCACATCTCGCCATCCCACTAGAGCAACGCTCTTGGCTATGTCGAGCACTGTGGCCATATCTGGAAGCCTCCAGAAGCTGTCATTGGCGAAGCTCCACTGCAAGATCGAAGTGGTGCAAAAGCTTCCCGGTGTGAAGTCCTTCAAGGTCTAAGTAGGTAATCTGACAAGAAGTGCTAACGGTCATTGTATTTCTATTAGCCATATGAGTCATGTGCTAGAAGCATTTGGCCTTTCTCTGGTTGGCTGCCCCAAACTCAGACATTTAGCAGGTAGGCAAATCTGTGTCCTGTGTGTGGTGGGGAGTAGGCCTATCCTTTTCAGGAGCAGAAAAGAAACAGCAGTGTTGTCAACTTGGTCCTGTGCTGCAACATATTTGGCAATGAAGTCATCTTCAGTGCTGGCGCTGTCCATGATTCCAAGCTTCTTCACAAGGGTCAGGCTGTCGGTAAGCAAGGCATCTTCATCGCACCAACACCTTTGGACTAGATCCAAAAACGAACCACCAACTTCCAGAGGCCACTTCCTCTTCTCAGGATAGCCGTGCCGGCCTTGATGGACCAGGTTGATCCAATCCTTCAGTTCGATGCGCCCTGGTGCAACTTCAGAGATTGTTTGGGGTGCGTTCGCTTTGGAGTTGGAATTGGCGAGCTTCTGACGTTTCTTGGGCGGCATGGCTTCCCAGGCCCTACCCTGAAACTGGTAAAGATTGTGCCCCAAATCTTGGCAAACATACAACTCACAGGAAGTGTCTTTTAGAAAACCTCAGAACCTGTAGACTGCAGTTTGGAATGCTTGCCGAAATGAAGACTGTGCAGAAAACTCTGAAACAAAGTTCAACTCGGTTTGAGTGAGTCAGGGGCTGGAAACTTTTTCAGCAACAAGGTGGGTTGCTGCATTGAACCTTTAATTGAGGATGATCATTACCATCCGCACATAGAAAGTTCATGATCTTTAATTGCTAAATGCGTGACCTCATGATGAGACAAATGCCCTGGGGCACAGTGAACCGATCACTACAGCCAACACCGACTGGCGTTGGGAACCAAACAGCACTGCTCAAGGAAGATGCGGCTTCCAGTTGGCGAGGAGGGCAACCAGCGCTGCCAGGTGCACTGGGACACTAAACCTCGCAGTCGCGCTGGCAGTTGCAAGGACTAAGGGTCCTTGCTTCAAACCTAGATTTCTCCATGCTGTTCAGAACTCTTTGGTTAGATCATGTACCATTCACGATTCACGATTGGCAATGGAATGAAGGGGTGCCTTTTTTTCTCAGCACCAATTCAATTGCCATGTGAGCCCGATCCCAAAACATGCCAAGCAGCGAATTCCCAATGAAGGATCGCATTGAATGGTCCGACTTGTCTGACATGCGGTATTTGACCCATTCGCTCGTGCCCACCCCTTGCAGGCGCGCAAGCTCCTATCGATAGAGGAAATCGAATCTGGGCAGAAACGATGAAAGGAGTTCAGGGTGTAATCATAGAATAAGGCCGAAGAAAGGGCAAGAGGTTTGTAGGCTCAATGACTTACTTGGACTCATAGTCTTTTTTGGTAGCCTGTTTTCATGCGGTTGGGTGCCTTTGTTGTTTTATTTGTTTCTGAATCGTTGTTTGTATTGAGACTGACTTACTTATCAGCAATGCCAATGACTATTTTCTTGTAGTTCCCCTTGGTAAGGCGTTTCGCCTGGTTAACCCTCCAGTTCCTTGGCTGAGAGCACGCGGAAACCAGCAGGCCCCGTAGCCACATACTTTCCACCAGGAATGATGCACGTTGTGGTGGACACATCCGATCGCGCCCAGGTAGCCCGATCAAAGTTCTGATCCTGATCAGATATGGGAAAGCCTACCAAGGGTGCATGGAAGGTGGTTTGCGACATGAATATTCTCCTTCATTACTATTACTATCCATACCACAGATCCATAGGTTAAATAATAATAAGTGTTCAAGACTGGCGATGTGCTGCTGGCATATCGACGATTGGAATCAACAACTTAGGCTAAACCATCAAAGATTCCACTTGGATGACCGCCAACTGCTTCATAGCATCAAATCCTTTTGTGGTGGCCATGTCCTCCATGGCCACTGCCAGAATACATATCTCCCGGTCGCTGCATCCATCCACAAGCTGTTTGAGCGTACGAACTCGGCCCTCAAGCTTCACCTGGGGATTGAGTGGGAACCCACAATGAAATTGGTTTGATCGACTAGCATAGGCACACTTTGCAACAGGGACTTGAACACATGTTGTTCCCAGGGTGATTTTGAGAATCCCCGCCTTCCCATAGAACTCACATTGTTGTTCAAAGCCCTCCTTCCACTTCATTTGCCCAGCGTCCCCCTTCTTGGATCTTGTTGGAGCCCTACCTTTGGTGTCCGTACGATTTGGGCAAAGATCCACACACTTGTCCAGCAGAACGTTGCACCGCTGAAAGCGATTGATATCCGAGGTGAGCTCATCAGCAGAACACTGGACTTCCGACTGAAGGTGGCAAAGAAGCCAGGCTCGCCTCCTTTGCTGTGGCAATCCAAAATCCGCTGTGTTTCGAAGTCCCCCTGACACCGAGTAGCCAAGCTTCTGAAGTCGTCGCCTCACAATGGCATACCTGAGTACCGAATTGTGCTACTGACGCTTGAAGGGGTCCGGGATGCTCGGTCTGTCCAACAGGCATGCTGAGTATTAATAGTATAATGAGCTACCACCAGCAATAGCAGCGAACGATTTCTTTACCCAACATTTCAAGGTACGGGCATTCACCGCCTTCAACATCCCGTTTAGTAAACATAGTGGCGACGTTCTCCAACAGAATCAGGCGTGGCCTATGTTTTTTCACATAGCTCTCCAAGCCAAGGTATCCCCGCCCAGATGAGCACTCTGTGTCCACAACGCTCCCAGGTGTAGATGTCAAAACTGACAGGTTTACGCACGGGAAGCCACCCACCAATAGATCAACCTGGAGGGACAAGGTGTAAGTCGTGTAGTGCCATAGACTTCTTTGGAGTAGACATTGTTAAAAATGTATTGAGACGAACTGTTACATCAGAACTGGCTGTAATTTTTGACTTCAGCTTACGCCTCGGGAACCTTCTCAGCCTTACCATCCGTCCATGTTTTGGCAAAATTCTTGTCCATCTCCGCTGCATCTTTGAACACGTATGTTCCAGGAAACCTGGTTGCCAAGTACTGTGCCTTGGCTTCCTCGATCTCGGCCATGAAGCACAGCTTGACCTGGAGCAAGCGGGGCAATGGGAGTTAGTTTCGGGTTGACATGGTTTGGGGTGTTGGCTTCCCAAGGAGGTGCTGGTGAAATTTGGACACATGAAGAAGTGGGTTCATTGATTGTTCATTTGATTCTAAGCTGACCTTTTGGGCTAAGTGCCATGGGACTTTCCCAAAAGAGAGTAGTTTGCTATTATTCTATTTGACCATACTTTGCTTTAGGATGTATGTTGAAGCTGTGGCTGTTAGCCCAAACCAAGGTGATCGTCAAAGTGTAGATGAGATATTTGCTAAATTGCTACGTTGCGTATTAATCTTAGACGATATTTAAAGTAATGTCAATGTACATAATTGGGAACCCATGCCCAACACTTCACCCCACAGCCTCCATGAATGCATCAGGGGGTGTGGAAGGAGCTGTGTTCCATTCATTCGTCAAGGCATCCACGACCATTTCCAAGACCCCCCATCCAGTGAACATGCTGCCAACTCTGAGCGTGTCAACATGGCGAAAAGTGTCCGCCAACTTTTCCCGAATCTCTTCAAAGGCAGGGTTGTGCACAAAGTCCCTGACGAAGGCATCTACCTAGGGTTACGACAAAAGGTCTTCCTACAGTTCCACCAACACATCACCCCAAAATCCCACTGGAAGAAACTGAGAATAATTCTGAGTTTCTTCCTAATAAGTTATTATAATCTATCTCGAGAATCGAAACCTCCTTGTTCCAAACCATCATAGGTACATGATGTTTGACCCTTCGTGTACTGCCATGATCCATGAAAAAATCAACAATAAACAGCATCATCATCGTGGATGGATGGATTGATCAAGATACCCCTGGTTCCCCATGAATGGGAGCCAGCTTTCCACACGGCTTGTCGCCCTCCATTGTCACTTCCTCATCTGATGAGGCCAGAAGCAAAGATGGTGAAGCAGTCCCGGATGCGCCCGCACCTGGCAGTGGCCGGCTGTTTGACTTGACTTTACTAGATATCCCCAAATGTCATCGAATTGACGTTGACTAATGCTGTTCAAAGGGAGAGATTTAATTTAATGTGCCTTTATTATTTCCCATGTAGCATATGCCCTGCAATCCCTGCCTTCATAGTCAGAACCATAAAGAATCTCATCCTGCTCAGCATCTTCTTTCGAAGTCCTGGCAGGCTCGCTGGTCACGATTCCAGCAATGCTGCCCCAACGAAAAGACATATTCAATTCTTCACCAATGGTTGGGTGTCAGGGTTGTTGGTTGGACTACCAGGTGAACACTGAGCGGCTTGATTTATCAATCTTGTGATATGAACAACCGCTTGATTGTCACATTGTATGGAATGAGCTTTCAGAGTGTTTATATTATAGGGTATGGACAGGATAGGGTATGATGATGGTGTACCCGATCTAGTTTGGGACCAATCATTACTCGGATATAATATAATATTAGTCGGTATATCTCGGAAATATCAAGTTAGACTTCAGGAAACGACCGCACACGAATTGATCCCAAAGACACCCAACATTATTTTACCATCCTTCCGAAAGCTTAGTCTGCCATTCCTATAGGTAGATCGACTGGCCCATCAGAATCCGAGCTGTCACTGCCAATGGCGTCACTTTGCAGCGTGAGATCAAAGTGTCTCACACGCCGTGGTTGTTGCCATCTTCCAGGATGATAGTTTTCCCGACGCATTGCCTCTGACCACCGATGGCGCATGAAGGTGTAGTGTACTGGTTTTGGTTTTCGTGGCAATGTACCTTGACTCCAACCAAGCAAATACCGAGCACCCTCATCTGATACTTCACCACTTCGTTGGCAAATTGGGACCCGTTTCTGTAGATTCTTTTGGACTTGCTCACTGATAGATCTTCGGTTGGCCAGTCCCCCTGGGGGATGATGTCCATTTCTGATTTGCTGCGCTGTTGCCGCAGGGACAACCACCAGCGCGCGTGTGACCTGGGTATCGGACAGCCACTTTTTTGTTATCATGAACACATCATCACTGTGAGGTTCGAATCGCGAGCCAAATTCTTCCAACTCATGAACGTTGTCGAGAATGTCAGACCCCAAGTCGCGTCGACAGCAAAACCTCATGTAGTGCACATTCCGCAGACCTTTAAATGAAAGGCCTATTTGGGCAACAAACTTTTTCCAGCAGGACACCTGATCCAGCTTGGATACTGAAGCCACGGAACCGCGAATGCGTCCAACTTTCTCGGAATCGTGCCCATGGTCAATGCATTGTTCCAAAACGCTGATCATTTCAGATGCTGATTGACAACTTTTTCCCATCAAGAGTCTTGCCACCTGACCAAAAACTTGATCCACGTCATCATGACTGTGGGCCGTTCTCAAGAATCCCAAAACTGTGTAGCGGAAGACACCCAAGATTTGGAGCAACAACATGAAGGCCAAGACGTACTTGTTCTTCCCCTCCCGGGCGCAATTGTCCTGTTGGACGTGCAGAGTCATCGCCAAAGAAGCACCGTGGTCAAAAAGGTGCTGGAGGGAGAGGCATAGGGCTTCCAGCTGGGTCTCGCTGTCCTTTTTAAGGTCCTCATCTGACAGGTACAGGTATAACCTGAACCCATGCACCCAACTTGCCAGCAAGTGGGTTGCCGGACGGTACAACTTGGTGGCCGCCTTGCTCAACTTGCAATAACCCCATTTTGGTATCCTCAGCTTCGCCTGGTCCATTCCGTCTTGTATTACAGTTATCACTGAAGAAGCCAGCTCGGCACCACCCAAACGTTTGCTGAAATGAAGGGCTTGTGAGAAGTAATTACGGCTAAGAGCTCGCTGGTTCCAGTAATATTGTCTGTCAGCCCATTGGTGTAGCAAGTGTTGGGTGTATAGGCGAACGTTCGCAGCCCTCAAAATCTTTGAAGATGCGGTCCTGATGCGTTTCCTCAATCTGTGGCACACATCGCATTGGCCGAAGTCACCCTTGTCCCTGAAACGCAGGTGTGTAGCAAACATTTTCTTCATGATTCTTCTAAATGTGGAGAAACCCGCCATTTGAACGCCGGCAGCCTCACAGTACCCCTGGTACTGATAGAACAGGTCAATAGGCTTTTGCCACTCCAGGTACCTCCTTGGCCCATTGAAGGTTCCAGGCCCACCATGGGCAACCTTGGCCCGCAGGACTTGATTCAAGAAGAATAAGGTAAGGGTTTTTCCAGCAATGAACAGTCAACATCATCCCAATATAGACATATGGAGGGTGGCAACATTATCACACTAAAAAAATGTCATAAAGTAGCAGGCCAGTGACTGGATTCATATCATAGTTTCTTTCGAGACAGGCCAAGAAATGTTGAACATACCTCTCTTGAAAATCCGGGTCTTTGGACATGTGAGATTCCACCATAGTGTTTCCCTCATAGCGTCCAGGCATGGTGAACTTGACTGGAAGGATTTCTGCGCAACTGATCCAGAGGATCCAAAAGAACGACATGACCGATGGCCACTTCTTGTTCTCATGGGACCGAACCATGGACACTCCAACAGAAGGATGGTGTGGTTCCTGGAGACGCCCGGATTGCATTGTATATGCTTGGTTTCCGGCGCGCATGTTTTGCAATGCACCAGATCCGACGGAGTACAATCTCATGTGAGCAGCTCTACACACAGACCGATTCAAAAACATCAGCTTGTGGCTTGTAGTCCGTTGGTCCCAGTACTTGCGAGGCTTTTTGGACACTGGTTCTGCACACTCCTCTTCCGATTCAGTTTCTAGCAATAGTTCGCCCTCGCTCTCAGGAGGAGTGGCCAATAGATGCTCTTGATCCGATTCGCTTTGCAACAAAACATCACACTCTGAATCTGTTTCCACAAGCACGCTGGAAATTGGGGCAGCTCCAGATTCAAAATCCTTGCCACTGTCAGCATGGTACCATCTCTTCAATAAAGCTTCCTTGCAGCATGGTCAACCCTTCATGTAAATTTATAGGAGCCCTGGGAACCCTCAAACGATTGAACGACATCCCGCTAGATAATAGTTTGCCCACTCCATTCAAAAACTAACGGATTGAAAACACACAGTGACAGTTTTCCAAATCATGTCCTTGTCAATGGCATCTAAGGCCTGGAATCGTTCTCTCTCTCGTTGCACCTCCCCAGCTGCTTCAGCAAATTGCTGGAAGCAATTAACTTGCGAGCATGTGCACCTTCGCGTCAAGAGTGTGCCAAGTGCCACTCTGGCTGGCATGGCGATGTTTGGCTGGCATGAAGTGATTTGATTTGGGCCTTTGCAACCTTTGAAAAAACCATAGAGTCGTCCAATTGTCATGGATGAATTTAATGCGATGTGCTCTTTGTATGTGCTCTTGTAATGGATGTGCTCTTGCACGGTTTCCCTTTTCAAGAGCTATACTTTGTGCTGGCTGACTTTTGAGCCAGACGCAACTCATGAATCCCGACTATTTGCCTTCCTCACTGCCTTCACTGCAGTGCCTTTCCCAGCCGCTACCCATATCTCCCCAGCGGTCCTTGAAGAAGGCTTCTTGAAAATTTTTGCTGCTGGCTTCTTCCACGCTGATGAAGATGGCCGCTTCATCGACATGTCGTGGGAACCCTCTGTTTTTGGAACCAATGGGCTGTGGAGCAAGAACATGGGTGGAAGCAAGCACACATCACTCTAGTCCAGTCCAACCCACTCAAGAACCTCATGGAACCAAACCTGAAAAGACTAACTTTTGTGAAAGTTCCTTATATATATATAGTATATATAGCAGGTGTTGAAGTTCAAATTGAATCCCCTCCTCCTGAACATGTATTGTTTTGAAGCCTGTTGGGGCCACCCAGTGGAAAAAAAACATTCAACATGATGTGTGTGTGTGTGTGTGTGACTGTGTGTGTGAGATCCTTCATATCCACCGCTGAATTCAGCTGATGAACTCACCATCCGCGGCGGTCGTGAGGATCAGGAGGTCCATGTTCACTCAGAATGTGCGATTCCTTGCGCGGGTCCTAATCCTCAAACTTCAGATTCCGGATATGACCACAGCAAGCACCGCTTGCCTGCAGTGCTGCAGTGGACAAAATCAAACAGACATGTAGATTGGTTGGTTTTTTCCACATGTTTTGGAGTTCTCAGAAACTCATTCGACAGCTTGTATGTGGGAACTGTCATTCTGAACCTCTTCACCAGAGTCGGCTGATGAAGATGAGAGGTTTCCAACAGGTGTGTCACACCGAAAAACACCCCAAAACCACCAAGCAATCGACCCTTCGTTCGTACCGTCATCCCGGACCCGGGACCACATGAGCTCCATCAGCTCAGCTCGACAGCCGAGTCTGTCCCAATTGACGGCCAACACCTTCGACGGCCATCGCATGTTGTTCGTGCGATCCTTCTGTCGAGTGCGTTCCGTTTCTTTCGATCTGGTGTTCCACTTCGAAGGACCTCAGGCCCGGAGGCCACAGTCGACGGTGGTTCCCCACGGCCTCTCTGGGGAATGACGTCCTGAAGCCTCCGTAAGGAAGCGTAGCCTTAAGGCAACGGCATCAATGGCAGGTTAAGTCGTTCCTTCTGGTTGGTTCTTTAATTTGTTTTTTGTTCACATGTTATACACCACGATTGCAGTATGTAGGCCTGGCGTGCACTCCGGCAACGTGTGAGTTTGCACCACGTGAACTTTCATATTTTGGACATTGTTGTTGAAACCAAGTCCTTTCATCTATACTTGTCCAAGAAGCTACTTTCAGCACCCCTCATGTAAAGATCATGTTCCCACGACTATCTCCATGTTTGTCAAACCAGTTAAGTGTATAAATGTATAAGTGACTTAGTCTGCAAGAGGAGACCCCCATGGAGACAGAGTGGGCCATTTTTGCCATTTGGCCCACAAAGTCCTCACCTCTCCAACAACCTTGGCGCAACAGCCGCAGGCACTATTGATGATGTTTTGTGCTCGCGCAAATGGCGAGAATCCCGAGCTACTTCTTAGACGCACTTGAGGCTGCAACAAGTTTTGCAGAATGAC